ACAAAGGACTACGAGCTATCTTTTGAACCACTGGACCAATTTGTATGATTTTGACGTATGTTTGTATTTGGAGTATGCTGATTCTGAAAATGTGAATGTGATGCATACTTTTAAAGTAATGAATAATGTGGAAAAACTGTATTTCTCTGCCTGTGATAATTACATTAACCCATTGTGTAAAGTAATTGTATCACAGGCAGAGGGGGGGATTTTGTGTGGGGGTGTCTGAGTGTATTGCACATGTTTATTGGTCGTTTTACAAAACCCTGTGGGTGGTACTAATGTGTAAGAATGTGTATATAAGAACAATAAACCCACAGCTCTGTCTGTTCCTGCTCAACCCTCAAAACGGAGCCTTGTCTCATTCTTGGGGGGATTTATTGTATGCTGTTCCAGTTCGACTGCTAGGAGTGTAAACCTATTCGTATGGTTTTTCCTATGCGGCTGTTTACAGCATTCATATGGTTCTGGTACGGCTGTTTACGGCATTCATATGGTTTCCTGTTCGGCAGATTGGTGTCTTTGGTAGCTGCCTGTGTATCTGGAAGGGGAATATCCTCTAAACGGCGTTTAACCCTTTTTATGCCCGGGGTGCCGTTACACACGCATACATACAGACATACACACACACACAGACATACATTCATAATGACATACAGACATACATTGATACTTGAATACATACATACATAGTGACAAACATACATACATTTATACAGACAGACATGCATACTGACACCGACATCCATACACAGACATACATTCATACAAACTGACATACAGACACTGACATCCATGCACACATCCATACATACATTCATAATGACATGCAGACATACATACACTGACATCCATACACACATACATACATACATTCATATTGACATATATACATACATACATGCATACAGACACACACACACACACAGCTCATTTTTCAGCCACCCTCCTGTTCTTACCTTTTCTTTGCAGGAGGGTGGCTGGCGCTGATGGGAGTCGTCGTGGCTCTCCCTCTTAAAGGCCTTCACGCTGGCTCTCCTCCCGCGTGGAGTGACCACTTCCTCCCAGCAGCTCTTGTGCTACGGCTGCACTTTATTTTTTAAAGGGGCCCGGTGGCGCTATAACACGGCCATCGCGCTGACTGGGCTCCTGAATATAGAGGGCCTATCGGGTGGTCCTAAGTGCGTGGGCCACCCGATGGGCCCCATCAGTGTGCGGGCCCCAGGGCAACTGCACTGGTGCAATTCCACTGCTACACGTGGGGCCCGGGCGGGTTGTCACCCCCTGATGGCGGCCCTAAACTCAGCTCCTACCAATGTTTGGAGCAAATATTGTGACTAGCATAAACATGAATCGCAAATCACAGAAAGACTATTATGGTGTAAAAATCTCTGGAGTGGCAATTAGAGTTGAGCGAACCCGAACTGAAAAGTTTAGGTTCGTACCGAACATTACGTTTTTTGGACCCCGGACCCGAACATGGACATATCACTGTATGTTCGGGTTGGAGTTCGGAGTTCGGCAATTTAATGACGCGTTTTGAAAGGCTGCAGGGCAGCCAATCAACAAGCATTTGACTTGTGTGCTCTTAGAAGCCATCACAGCCATGTCTACTAATGGCATGTCTGTGATTGGCCAGTGCAGCAAGTGACCCAGCCTCTATAGAAGCTGGTCACTTAGTATTAGTAAATTATGCCCCTACTCGCTATACCGTGAGTAGCGGCGTGTCTATTAAACAGTGGGCCTATTGCCCCCCGGCCCCCACCCCTGAGCGGCGGGTGGAGACCCAAAATACCAATAAGGGGGGACACCTACTGTCCTCCCCCCCGGCCCCCACCCCTGAGCAGTGGGTGGGGGACCTAAATAACAATTGGGGGGGTGGACCTAAAGTCCTCCCCCCCGGCCCTCACCCCTGCACGGTGGGTGGGGGCCAAAAAATAAAAACTGGAGGAGGGGACCTAATGTCCTCCCTCCGGCCCCCACCCCTGAGTGGCAGGTTGGGGCCCTAAATAACAATAAGGGGGGGACCTAAGGTCCTCCCTCCTGGCCCCCACCCCTGAGTGGTGGGTGGGGGCCATAAATAAAAAAAATCAAACCCCCCCTCCCCCAGGTGACTAGGGGTCCCCAAACCCCTAGTCACCCCCCTGTGTGTCGGTTATTCTGGATTTTTATTTGGCCTTTTTTGGGGCTGAAAAAAGAAGATTTTAGAAGAAAGAAGACATCAAATGGTAAGTCTATTATTTTTATTTACAGGTATTTAGACAAGGATCCCCCCTCATAATTTTTAGGATGAGGTGGGTAGGTAGGGGTAATTTTTTGGGGGGGAGGAGGGGACCCCTAGTCACCTGGAGGGGGAGGATTTTTATTTATGGCCCCCACCCACCGTGCAGGGGTGGGGGCTGGGGGGGAGGACATTAGGTCCCCCCTTATTGTTATTTATGGCCCCCTCCCACCGCTCAGGTGTGGGGGCCAGGGGGGAGGATATTAGGAGGTCCCCCCCATTTTTTATTTATGGCCCCCACCCACCGTGCAGGGGTGGGGACTGGGGGGGAGGACAGTGGTGCAGGCAATAGTGGTTTGTTTTTTTTACAGACACGCCCCTACTGGCGGTATAGCGAGTAGAGGCTGAATTTACTAATACTAAGTAATCTTTACTTAGTATTAGTAGATGTGACTGAAAGACCAATTTAGGTGACCAATTTAGGTATTTCAGCCTTTTGGTAGATAGCTCCCAAATACCGTGGGAATTAGGGAGTTATATACTAAGCAGCTGCTTATTTTATGTTATTTTTAAGTGATTTCCCTATCCACATTTGTTTGCAGGGCACTTGTGCTACTCTTACCCCCATTTTACTACCTTTGCAGCCATCTAGCCCTTTCCAGGAGTTTTTAGAGACATTTTTGTGGCCAAAGGTTCGGGTCCCCATTGACTTCAATGGGGTTTGGGGTCAAGTTCGAGCCTGAACCCAGACTTTTTTTCAAAGTTCGGCTGAACTCGCCGGACCCGAACATCCAGGTGTCCGCTCAACTCTAATGGCAATGGTTATTTAGCAATAGTATCATTTTATATGTGTTAAAACTATTTGGAATAAAGAAAAACACAGCACATCAATTTCAAAGGAGATGCAGATTCATCTAATATATGTGTTGGTCGTCATAGGTCATATGTTAATCATATGTTCTCAGTGATTCAAAATCAGAGTCAACAATCAAATTAATCCAGTACACTATTCTCAAATTATAGTATATGTACAGTATGATTACAATCTGCTCGTCCTTACTCACTCTCAGATTGGGGGGAAATTAAATCCTATTACCTTAGGACAATATAGTATAAAAATCTGTTGGATTGGCACTACAGAAAATATGTCTAAAATTCACCATTATAAATGAAATAAGTCAGTGATCTTATGAATTTCAAATACAGGTTAGAATGTAAATTACCTGAAGGGGGAGACGGAGAACCCCTCATTGAGTCCATT